TATATATATATATATATATATATATATATATATATATATATGTAATCAAAATCGGATGTATGTACATACATTGAAAAATGAAAGAGGCGAGATCTTGTAGAAAAAAATTTCCTTCGATTTATCGGTTATTTTTAAATACGTATTGCCTCATTCTACAAGAACTTCAAAAATAAAAAAACTCTTCCTGATTTGTCAAATTGAAAATCACATTCGTCTATATCCGTCTTTGAACGGATATAAACGAAATATGTCACGATTCACATTTTTCGCATTTTTTCCATGAATAGAATTTTTTGAAATTATAGCAACATACACGAAATAACAAAGAACCGAATAGAGAATATGATTGCGTTTTAACGGCGATACGTATGTACGTACACATTAGAATGTAGAATGTCTTTATTCACATTTTTGTATTATTTAATTTTAAAATTTAAAATATTTACGATGATTGTGCTCAGATATACTGTCTAATATAAGAATAATTTTGAATTATATAACTATTATTTATTTTTATATGATATACTGAATCGATCAATATAGATACTTTCTTTTTATTCGTGCTTTTTTTCATTACACTTTTGTTACGCATATATAAGTACTCTTGTCTGTGGACAGCAAAGATCTTGTTCGATTGAAAATACCATATTCCATGAAACATTTCCAGCAAACGTATTACATTATTGTGATAGATTAAATATTACATTAATTTAAATTTCTTGTAAATAAAGGATTAAATGATTGTATTGATAATGTGCAAAATAGCAAGCATAAACTATCGATCTATATACATAATTTAAAAGAAAAATGTTTCGCTTCTATTTAAATTTTATCGGAATGCCACATATTTAACGCAAACAATCTGTATTTTGATTATGGATTAATAAAATATATATTTTTTTTTTTTCAAAATGTCACAATGTCAAATTCACAAAAATTCGCAAATGTTGTACACCTAAAAGAAAGTGATGACAAAAGATGGAATTATGAACGATTGTAGCAATAACCGTCGAATGTATCTATCGGGTAATTTTAGGCTTCGAAAATTTGCAAAGGATTCCCATTCCCTTGAGAAGGAGACAAGACTTACAGCAGATGTTCGTATCGATTTCGGAAACATCATCGATTTCCCCAAACGCACATCACATTGCACGCCTCACATTTTGAGATACCGGCCGCTCCTCGTACATACATACATACATACATACATACAT